TATTGTTTGCAAGCAAATGTATGTTATTAAGATTGTATTAAAGCTTAATATTTATCTCATAATAATATGTCTGATTACTTGATATGCAGCCCTCCAAAGCATCYCTTGTTGCAAGGGGACTTGCTGCTAAGCCACTCAAAGGGAAAAGGTACGTAAATTATCAAATACTTTTTCTAACCTTAGACCTCTAAATTAGAGGTTATCTTCTCCTTGTATTGCAGAGTTGYTAGAGGCAAGAAGGTTCCTGATAACAAGCCAGGTTATTCCCTATACTCTACTGATTCAGAGGATCAGGTATGTAATTATCTATGATTTCTTTACTGTTCATATTGATGTGGTGAATTAAACTCTACTTAAACTTCATGTTCTAGGCTTCTAGTGTTGGACGAGGTCTTGACAGATGTGCAGCGCTACTTACAAACATCCTAGACAGCAATACTAAAGGTCAGTTTCCTTGTTARCATGYCWTATTGCTGRCCGTCCTGTGGGCACAGGAAGCCCAATGCAGACTGAAATAARAATTTGTGTYGTTTGTGTGCAGTAAATSTGTGTTGTCAACATTCACTAKTTCAYTAATACATATTAAATGACATGTTTGTGTTTCAAGGTAATAAAAGAAAAAATAATACTGAAAATAAGSCAATTACAAGAGAGAAGTTAAAATCTACTACCTCTGCAAAAACATTACAATCAAAAATAAATGCAACTGGCAGCGTTGCTAAACCTATAGTAATCCCAACTGCRTCACATAAGGATCAAGGTAAACTTCATTAGATAATGAAAAATATGCTTTAAAGTCAACTAGTGTGTATTTATGGAAATAAGAATTAAGATATACAAAACAAGGCAGTTTTCACAAGTAGCTTAAGTATAAAACTTTGTATTAAAATGCAAATGAAATGGAAAGAATCAAATTTATTAATCAGTCTTAAAATTGGATTTCAATAGAAACAAATGAATGTTTGGTCAATGAATGTTTGGTCCTTAATAGATTTTACTTTGTATTTCCATCTGAATCCAGGCCCATCAACTTTGTATAATGAACGTTTAGTCGCTTCAACTCCATTGCTAAACTCTGAGGAAAGAAAGAAGCAACAAAATCTTTTAGAAAGAGAGCAAGAATTAACACGTCAGCTGCAACAACTTCAACAACACTACGAACTGCTACAGGTAATTCTATAACATTTACAAAAAATATATTTGGAGAAAAGTTGTGATGATGAMATTGTCTTATGTTTGAATGCAGAGACAAAAAAGCCCGGAAATTCAGGAACAGCAAAAGCGTACTTTACAAGACTCCATGTTGCATGAGTTAGATGGGTATCACCAAAATGAAGATAATATGATTGCGAGACAAAGGTCACCTTCTAGGGATACCCCAACAGCAAGGAGAAGTCTAGATTACAATCATGAAAAAAACAGTTCAAGTGAAGATGTAAGTTTTGTATGTTTGTAAGCAACTTGGAACAATTTATTACTATAAAGATGTAGTAACTGAGTGGAGTAAAAACAGATGTAATTTTGCAAAGGTCGTGGGTTCAAATATGATTTTAAATTTGACAGGACAAGTGGATGGCAGCATCTCTTGTTTGTTTGTTTTTGCTATTTTTGTTTACACACTAAATTATACATATTTTAAGTATAATTATTTGATTGCAAATGATATTTTCTACACATGAAATATCTTATATCTATACCTCAAGCAAAAAACTCATTGACTGAAAGAAAAAAGCATTACTAAGTGCCATCAATTTCTGTAGAGCCCAGAACACAACACCAGTTTCTCCTCAACCCTGAAGTCTACATCAAGACAAGATACTGGARTTAAGAAACATGTTAGAGTTGTGTCACCTGATGTGAGCGAGCGATACCACCCCAGGACAGACAGTCGTGCATCTCCAACAAGAAATAAACCTGTTACAAACAAGAATAAAGATAGTTTTTCACCCACTGCAGCAAGACATGAAGTCAGTACTTTACAGTACCTTATGAGAGAATTGAGAGAAGTTTTAGGGAACCAGAGTGAGTAAATKAATTTCTTGAAATGTTATATCAATTTAGAGAGCTTAAACATGACGTTCGTGGCACACTGGAGGGTCCCCCGTTACAATTTCAACACAAGAGTGGGTAATTTTGTGTTTGCCATAATCATGAACAGTCGCTCTTTCCAATGACTAACAGAAGCACAAGGTCAGGCATGAAATTCTTAGGTCATTGGTTCAGCTCTGCCATTAGCTGTTTGTCAGAAATGTGATGCTTAAACTCTCTAAAAACATTATTTTCACATGACTTTAACCATGGTGTCTCCATTCATTGAGTGTTAAATAACCTATTGCTGTGTACCTGTTGTAGTTCAGGTTCAATATGATTTTGAACCAGTTCAATTTTTTCTGAACTGGTTCAGTTTATTTTGAGCCAGTCCAACATAACTCAATCCAGTACAAATCAGTTTAGGGTTGGGTTTAGGGTTAGGTTTAGGGTTAGGTTTAGGGTTAGGGTTAGGGTTAGGTTTAGGGTTAGGTTTAGGGTTAGGTTTAGGGTTAGGTTTAGGGTTGGGAATAGGGTTGAGCCAGCATTATATAAAAATTTTCTTCATTAATAAGTTACAATTAAGATAAAAACAATTTGCAAACATTACTACCAACACAATCCTTGATGGTATAATTGGTAGTACTGTGGACTATGAAGCAAGAGTTCAGTGGTTCAAACCCTGATTCAAGGTAAGTATTATTCATAAATTAAAAATATAGAAAATATCAATATTTCTGTGGGGTATAGGGTAAGATAAAGTAGGAAATAGGGTAGAAAATAAGGTAGAAAATAAGATGATAGATAGAAAATGGGAGAGAATGAGATGGGATATAGTTCTTTTAGTTCTTTTAAGAATGCCAAAGCAAAAAAGAAAAAAAAAGAACAAATTAGATTAAACTGGTTCAAAACTATATTGAACCTGAACTACAACATACCTTCCACAGAATTTCCACAGGGATATTTTTTCATTTATGATCCTGTTTTTTTCCTAAAATTTTAATCCTTGATCCCAAATTTTTGTTCAAATTTGATCCATGATCCCACAAAATGTTTGATGATCCTATGAATTTAAACTTGCAGATGTTTCTTGGTGAAACCATTGCTTGTGATTGCGATCCTGAATCAAAAATTCTGATCCCTGATCCCAAAAACAACGCTGATCCCTGATCCCACATCCCATTTCACAACCCTGGAAAAAAATTGAAGGCATCAGTTCTTGCATGAACGTCTTTTGTGTTGATTTAATCCTGTGTATTTTGAATGGTGCAGGTGACTTGGAGGTCAATCGTTTGATGATGGAGATAGATCATACCTGTAGTTTACTTCCATACTTGATTCCATCAAATCCACAAAACCTRAAAGAAGACGAGGATATGAACAGCAAACGACTTAGAGTAGAAAATTCATTCTTAAAAAGGTTAGACATTGTCGAATAAATAAACTGCTCATTTAAGATACTATACCCTGTTATTGGTGACTTAGTACATGGAATTTCCCATATTTCTTTCTTCTATTCATTTTTTTCTTTTTTTCTCCATATGTACGTCCTCTGATTTTTTGATTAGAAAGTTATTATGTACAGGAAAAAAGGGAATTTATTATAATTTAGTACTATTTGACTTTTTTATCATAAAATACTTGAATGCTACTATCTTTAGTTTATAAAAAATCAAAAAAACAAACAAAACAGGAATGAAAACTTCATGGCATTACGTTTTTAATACCTACACATTATTCTTTGAATTGCAACATTTCTTGTCTCATAACAGGAAATTGCAAAGTGCTGAAGAAACAGCTCAGCACCAAGAACAGGCCATTCAGAACTTTCAACAGCTACAGAGTGGCCAAGCAAGTGTAACATTTGAACGTAAGTACCTAATGTTGTTGATAATGTTGATAATGATGCTAATGATGTTGATGGTATTTAAAATCATCAGCATCGTCATTGATCATGGTTGATGTCAAATTCCGAAACAATTAAAAAAACACGATCAATATTAATCATTATTAAACTATAATAACTTTATTAATAATGACAAGGAATAAGGAATTTAGGACTCGCTATTATTATTAACTGACATCATGAAACTTTTTTTTTATTGAACATTTTAGTAGCAAGCTGCAGGTCAGAAAATGCTTCGCTTCAAAAACAACTGAGAGAAGAGAAACAAGAAAATGAAAAACTCCACAAGGAGTTACGGAAACTCGAAAAAGTAAGTTTGGTTGCTTCAGAACAGAYGAAAATTGATTGTACAACAGCTGTACTAAGATAGATTTTCCACAGTTAAGTGATAMCTGCTGACGCTGATTTGTATCTCAACAGGTTATCGAAAATTTAAGAGAAGAGAAAAAGAAGTTCATCCATATCCTTGAAAATAAGGTGAGAGTTGAATCATCACATTTGAGTCGTCAAGTGTATTTTTTTATATTTTTCTGTAACATTTTTTTGTTTTTGTTTTTGTTTTCTTTAGGAACAAAGTCATTCTAAAAACAGACGATCATCTCAACTGGAAACACTTAGACTATCAAATGGTATGTGACAAACTATACGTGACTGTTCATTGATAGAGAACCAGCAGACGATTTGCGTGCAACAAAAGAAATGCTTTATACAAAAGTCTAGAAAGTCGAATATTGCGCTCATTATAAACGAACCTACCTAACCAGCAACCAGCAAAATTCTGAAGAACTACATGTACAAGAAAATAAAATACCATCTCTATTTGTAGAAATACAACAGCTCAAAGCCGAAGTGCAAGCAGGAAAGCTTTCAATAGAAGCAGCCAGGAAAGAAGCGGTCATTGTCAATCTAAGCTTAAAGCAAAAAGACGCAGAGATTGAGAGRCTAAATGAACTTACCAAGTAAATATATTCACTTATAATCACTTAAARTCTCTACTTAGGTGCTTCTATTACTAAATGAACGTTTTCAACATTTAAAAACTGATTTCGAAAACACTGAGAAACTGCAAGGTTTTATATCTGTTTATATCGTATCGTGTAATTCTCGAACTTAGATGGTGGTTAAGTGTTGATTGACATGTGTGATGTTTTTGTTTGTAGAGCTCTTAATCAWACCATGAGACGAGCGCTTGGTGACATCCAGGAATATACACCGAACGGAATAAATGGTGCCATAACGGCGTCCACAAAAGATCTTGACACCGYGAATCACCTCAGGTAATTTAGTTTCACTAAAATATCGACTCCCTAGTCTTGTTAGTGTATACTGATCCTATTCAATCCGACCACGGGAAGGACACTGAAAAGTGGCCGTATTATTGGGGTGGACGTATCAACCGATTAGAAAAGTACGGGGATTATGGCAACCTAAAAATTTGTTCATTATGACGGGGTGGCCGTATTACGCGGGTGACCGTAGTGCGGGGTTCTAGACTTTGCGAGTTACGGAATCATTACGTAATGCGACGGGTAATTCGCATTTTGCTAAGAGCGCGCGTCGATAACAGCGTGCGCATCGTTCTTTTCTTTATCTCAAGCAATAGTTGGGCGGCCTGTAGTGTATATGAGAACAAAATACATCAGCACTCAAATGACGACCTGTGGTTCCCCGTTAAAAACCAAACGTGAAAATGATGGGTCAGAGTAATATTTTGTGGTGTTTGCTGATCCAACGTTAGCCTTTTAACACTTAACGCTTTAATCTTCTATAACTGCCAGGCTAAAAAGAATTTCTTGAAATCTTTCAGTGATGTTCCGCGGTTAAAAGAACCTTGGTTTGGTGCTAAGCAACGAAGTAACAGTGTTATKAGTGATACCGATRTAAAAGGACTGGATGCGCTTCAAGATTTTCGACTTTCTTCATTATTTGAAGCAAGTGTTAATAAGTCAYCRATGATTGAACGTCGCAATTCATTTGGTTCAGTTCAGAAAGAYATTCGTCGACRACGTACMTCACCTTACATCAACGGAASTGACGTCAAATCACCTAATATGTCTATGGAAGATCCCGTATATTTYAGTCCCAAGGCGTCTTTGGGCGAGGGAGTCTGGAGAGAGGACAGATTTACAAGTCCCAAATCTAATGATAAAAACTTGGAATTGTCGTCGTTTTCCTCTGGAGACGAGGAAGATTTTCAACGCGATTTAGCTAGTTTAGATGCTGATATTGCTAGGATTCAGAGAAGTYTACGAGAAACTGCACAAAGAAGTGATTTATAAATTATTGTAGATTGTAGAAGAAGTTGATGTCATTGGACGAGAAATACTCTATTTTATCGCGCCACTTTGCTGTACGGCGTTGTCCTCGTAGGCTCAGTTCTCAAACACACTCAATACAACTTGAACTAAGCCTTGAATCATCTARTGACACTTAGCAAATAAACCATATTTTTTAATACAACAAAGTTCTGCTTGGACCAACTATGCATAATAGACGAAACATTGCTATATTTTTCTACTCATTTCATATCTGTGATCTCATCGGTGAGTACTAAGCGTGCGCAAATGATAGTGATGGACAGAGTTGTTCAAAGGCTGATTAGCGTTAATCCAGGGTTAACTTTAGAGGTATTTTAACTAGAGGTAATCGACCTTTGAACAGCGGTACCCGACAAAATCCAAAATGACGCAATTATTCAAAAACAAAGAAAARTGGATTCTATAGGAGGAAGGTAAAAAGAAATCAAATAATAATTTTAAGTTGACGTGAATATTGATACTTGACATTCATTTTGACATGTTTTTCCGTACAAATTTATCAGTTTCAAAWASCTAGTTATCCAAATGCATTCAGCCATGTCAATGTAGAACACAGAAACACCCGTCRCKTGGTACTTTTAGTCTTCCAGAGACTCCAAATTGTTGTATYATTTCCAAAAAAWWTATATGAAAAATAYAAAATACTCCAGCACGCATTTGTTTATYGTAAAGACATTTTTGTTTCTACTAGATGTGAAASTTATYGAGTCGAGGCAGGTGTTGTCAGGTCACCATAGTCAACACAATACGGGTTAYTTATTATTGTCTACTTACCCGCTCCTACTCGAAAACAGGTGACGTTACTAACACAAGACTAAACTAAAGTGTTTTCAAGGATGATTGGCTTTGTTTTGCTGCTGTCGTCTATYACTTTGTTTGATGACATCGATACGGTAAGGATCAGTTAATATGTTGAACCCATTTCAATGGTCAATGACAAACTGTATAGACTCAAATTTTTTTTTCGATYGCGTTAGTCACGGATTGCATGGCTGTCGGGTTTTCTAATTAAAGCCATAGTGTTTTGTGTTCTAGATTAAAGCATTCCCTACTAAAAGTAAGAGCTTGATCAGCAGTCTTGAYAGAGACAGAGATAAAAAAGGTATTTAAATGTGCCCGATTGCGCAGCGACGACATTTGATAGAGCAATGCATGATGGGACGTTTTCGCAGTTTTTAAATGCGCGCCAAACAGCGTTTTTTTTTGCCAAAAGCAAGTATTTCTGCCGTTTCTGCAAGGAAAACAAATAATGGAATTATTTAGAGGACATTAGAACGTGCGTTCTATGTTTTAGAAATCTGGGGTCGTAGAATGTAGAATAATTATGATCCATTCTCGTAAAAGCTGATCTGATATTCATCAACCAACAGTCCAGAAAGGATACTAAAATGTCATCCTTTGTTAGGCTTGGGAAAGCGAAGTGGAATGTATGAAAAAATAGAAATGGTGTCCCAGCCTTCCACCGTACCCACAWTGCCCATCTCTACAGAACAGTTAGAAAATTTAATTCAAAGATATATCGAGTCATTAAAGAATACAAATTCAAATGATAAGGACAACAGCAACAATACTTCAAATGCAGACCAAGGACAAAACTCTAAGCTAAATCTTACTCGTCCCGAACCGTTTTCAAAACCTACTCCCATTCCACCAATAGSAGACGAGTTACTGACGTCAACACCAAGTCAATCAATCCAGCCAATCGAAAGCTCTATAGAAAAGCAGCAGTCATTTGGACCAATCAAAGRGCAGCTTATTGATACAGAGAATATATCTGGAATTGAAGATATCCCCAAAATCTCTGGGATTGATTCAATGGATGATATCTTTAAAAATGACTCCATACACAAAGAACTAAAGAGATACGTAATTTTAGCAAAAAATATGCGCAGAAGTGCTGGGATCTCAGGAAATTACAAACACATATCGATAGAAAAGAAATTCAAGTCGAGTGTAAAAAGAGSCGAACGAACAAATGGGAATCTTTTCATGTCGAAAAATGCAAACATCCTTCGGACAAAGAACAGAGGATATGTTTTAAACAATATAGCGAAACGAGTGCCTTTGCTTGCTTTACAAGAATCACAGAGTTTACAAGTGAAACAGCTTATGGGAAAGAAAACCATGGTTGTTTCTCAACCTACAACCTTCTCCACTCCCATGAGTTTAAAGAAACGATTTTGGAAACCAAACGCACATATTAAACAGAATGAATTTTTCATGATATCACCCCGGAAACCAGGTAGAATATCTGAGATTAATGTGCGGAAAATAATGCTGAGGGCTAAAAAAGTTTCTATCCCTCCGCCACCACCATTAGAYATGAAAGCTCTCGAACCGTTCAAGAAAGCACCAGAAATTGAAACTATCAGTAAAACTTCTATCAAAATAGAAAATGCTCCACCAGTTGATGGGATCGACAAACATTTGATAAGTATTGACAATCAACAAGAAATTCCACCGATCACTGATCACGTGATCGACCACGTGGATATTAAACCAATACCAAAGATTCAAGATATGCCATTGAACCCTTGAAATAGATAGGCCTTTATGTTGATCACTTTTTTGTTGCATAGCTTTATTAAAAATACACTCATATTGATTATTGCATGCTAGCATTACCATACACTGGAAAAATCGCGCACTTAAAAGGTTGTACAAATTCACAACGTTTGAAAGTAGACTATTGCAAATCCTTCGTTCTGATTGGCTATGCTACTCGGGGTCTACTTTCAATAGTCCTCGGTTAAAGAAAAACGCCAATATTGATTTTCTTTTAGAAATATTGTTGTCCAAATTCGATGTCATATAAGGACCATTTTAAGACTTTTAAGTTTTATAATTTCACTCAAACCAGCAGCTTTCACTAGCGTGTAGTAAATTAATTTTCACTTTCAAACATGCCAAGCGTGTCAAACGGGAAAATTTATGCGCGAAGTTTTAGCAATAAAACAATTTCTCCAATGACCCCTCCCTTAAAATGATTGACATATTGCAAACCATGTGACGCAAATTGCTTTAGATTCCAGACGACGCGGTGTTTGATTCCTTGAAAAAGTGCGCACTGTGTATTTAGTTTTATACCAAACTTCACAGTTATGCAGTTCGTATCAAGAATAGCCATTTTGATTCTATTTGTCCAGTTCTGTCGAGGTAAGGTTTCTCTTTATAATAAGCTAGTGGTGATTATTTTGGGTCTCGATATCGTATATGAAGCCTGTCGCACATGGCGAGGAAGATTTCACTTGAGGACTACCTGTTCTTACTGCTTCGAGAGGCAAAAAACTTAATCTATGTGGATGATATCTAAAGAACTCACGTCTCTCACACAGTTTTTAAGGTTACTTGCCTCGCAAGGCAGTGAGACCAGTGCTGGAGTGAAATCTTCCTCGCTGTGTACACTGAGGGCTTTAAGAACATTTCTCGGTTTTAGGTCGTTTTAGTATTGAGCCCATTGAGAGCGAAGAGACATATAAAGAATTTGACAGCTGAAATATTTGACTGTGAGAAATTAGAATCTAATTTAGGTATTCGACTATTGGGAAATGTTTGATTTTATTAATCAATAATATCAGCTTTGGTTTTGATTTTTCGACATGTCATGTTTCCAAGTTGTGATGACAAGTTACAAACTGCAAACGCGCATCAAATTTTCTTGCAAGAGAAGTGGAAAATAAATTCAAAATAACCCGCATAGAGTCGCATGGTAATGGGACGAAGAAAGTATGGGGGTTTATCTTCATATAAATAACTGAAATAATGCATGAGTTTATGAATTCCCGCCAAAACTGCCACGCGAATTTTCTCGACATGAATTCTTCCATAATGTTAGACGACAAATTTGAATACAGTCAACTCTCGCTAATACGGATACTCTCGGGACCATAATTTAGTATCCGCAGTAGCGAGAGTCCGTAGTAGCAAGAGTTACTTTCAGTCATTTCTTTGTATTTTTTGCCGGGGATTCGGTATTTTACTGTCCGCAATATCGAGGTGTCCGTTATAGCGGGGTGTCCGTAAGGCGAGAGTTGACTGTAACTAGCAACTGTACATGTAATCTTGTAAGTTTATCACAAAAATATGCTCATTTGATGCTATTAATTTTCCATGACAGTTAAGACTCTAAAGTGCTATGTTTGTTCCTCGACCAAGGACTGGAGCTCATGTAATCATGTGAAAAGAGAACATACTTGTGATTCTGGCATCAACAATTGCTTAAAAGCTGAGATTTCTGTGAAAGGTCCCCTCATTGATGGCATCGAGTACTTAAAAGTTTGCAGTGATTCGTGTGATGCTGATAAAATTGCTTTTTGCAAGACGAAATTAAAAGAAGGTAGCAATTGAAGGAGTGGCAGCTCCACCAACTTAGAATACAAAAGGGCTTAAAACATGAAAAAAAAAAAAAAACATTAAAAGATATCCCTGTATCCTTGATGATAAATGCCTGTTCTCACTAAAAATCACTGGGGAGGCTTAGAAACTGACAAATGTTGGAATTAAATACTCCTTTTCCTGCTCAAAGATCTATTGTAATGTCAACATTTTTTGTGCTCTCTCTTGTTTTTGGTAAAGTCTCTATGCAAGTGAGTCTGTTGTCTACTAATAAAGTGCTCGTTTGCATTGAACGGGAAAAGGGCTCATTCCACAGGAACAAATCCAGAGCTAGTGGAGAGATTTAGGTTTATAGAATATGTTATAAATAATGACAACTGCTAAAAGTTAAAAGATAATRTATGCTGTAAATTTAACTTATTTTCTGTTTTCCCCAAAAAGGTCTGAAAATATCATGCAAGTTAAATTGCTGCAAAGGTGACTTGTGCAATGCTGCTGCTGTTCCACTGGTCAGTGGTTTCATCATTATGGCATGTGCCATGTTCTTGGCTTACAGCTTACATTAGGAGCAGCCAATTTGAGCCTGTTGAAGTTTTAATTATGATGTTACCTATATGATATTGAAAGAATTGCTTTTCTGTAAGAAGAAAAATAAAGTGTTGGTTTTATAGTTTATAAGTTATTGCGTCATTTTAAACCTTGCCTAAACGAAACTTCTCTTGGCTATCTTCTATATTCTGTGACTATCGTAGAGAAGATCATTCAGTGCAGMCATTTTTTTGACACTGAAACACTTATTAAACTCATAATTTGCTTTCCCATGYTCCCTTTCGGCCTTAGCTTTGATGACGTAACCTTTTAGAATCCGTTGACTCTAATTCTCATCCGTCTTCACAATTCTGACTATGATATCGTCGAGGATGCATTTCACCTCGGATTGCAGTGCATTATCGTCTGTTATCTCGTCTTGTGCAGTTCCATGGCGAGTGCATAGTTCTGTTTCAAAGAAATCATTCATTGAGAATTTTCTGACRAGCATCCCYGGTACTTTTACCCGAGTGAYCCCCGCCCYCYGGRACCATATCRTGATATACCTTTGTTCTCAGAGGAAAATCCAAGATTATCTCCGGTACTAAGTACTTGCAGTTTATCTGCCTTCTGTATTCGCCAAAGAGCTGTCAGAGACTCTAAAAAAGCAATTAGTTTTAAATATATAGATGAAAATAGAGATAAATCAAATCATTAACTGATTGAATTTTGCGATAAATAGCGTCGATCTTGCGCGCATCTCTCATAGTATGCTTGAATAGCTTGTTGAAACCGACTGAAGTTACCAATAAAACTTTACCTCCAACATGCATCAGAGGAAAATTAGTTAAAAGAAAAGGCTATTCCATACTAGAGGCTTTTGCACACATGAGAACCGTTTATTCTACTTTTAAACTTTGAGTTATTTTGGTAAAGGAGAGTGGTTGACGAGATCTTAGAAGACGCGGTCGCATCGTCAAGGCACTAAAATTCAAAATGGCGGAAAGGGATCAGAATCGGAAGTCAACACATCGAGAACTACATTGTTCTTTGCAGAACAAGAGAAAATCTCTACATGAACAAGAAATTGCTGCGCGGGGATTGGTAACAAGCTAAAAAAGAATAGCACAGGTGGTTGACACTTCACCCCCCCCACCTCTCCCCTTTCCCTTTGGTGGATCCCCAAGTATTCCTTGTTATGATTTGTTTGTTATCAGCAGTTACCTTTATTGAGGCTGACTGGCTGTTCGCCTCCACATAACATCCTTATTGTTTTCAGCACTTGTAGATATCCTCGGCGATACCGCTGGCTCATTTTACCRTATAGAATCGGGTTAACCAAGGCATGAAGCAAAGACATCAGACCGGCAACAAGAGASACGTTTTTATTGGGTTCTTTACCAGTAATAAGACTGGCAAGGTTGTTAAACTGCAACGAAAAGACGTACATTAGATTTCTGTTGTTACTGTTCATACTCGTGCATAAAGGCACTGGTTTTCCGCCATCTCGCCCGCGGGATACCATGCCTGCAAGAATCGAGGAGTCCGAAACTGCTGATAATACAAGTCGTGATCTATGCTATTTGCGATTTCTGTCACATGGCACTGTGGKAGGTAGCCATTACCTTTGCCAATAACATTCAAGTCTGATCTGCAGTTAACCAATGTTTTGCCTGAATACAATCTATAATGCCTATMGTTAATAATCCATTTTTTATGAAGAATGAAGCACACAATATGATTGCAATAATTTTAAGAATGAAATAAAACAAGCTGTAATATCTCTGTGTTATTAAGGAGGTTTTTTTTAAAGATGAAATAATGGATAAATGACTGAGGTAACACCAAAATTCCAAAATTAGCAAAATTTCTTCAAAATTAGCAAATGTTGAACCTACAAKCTATTGCAAAATAACGTGAAACACCCTCCACGATTGTGTTACTACAACCTCCCCTCCCTCTTTGCAATGTTGTTTTTGCGGCTATTTGATGATGGAATCAGTTGAAAATCGTCCTGGATGTACGGTTAACGTGTATCCAACATTGCACTGGGGAAAGGGGACAAGGTGTTCCGTTTATTTTGCATAAGTTTGTAGATCACCCTTTGCTCTGGATCTACCCTTTGCTCTTACTTACCAGGAAAGGCAGCCAGCTAATGTAATATACAAGAACGACCATGGCCATCATGGCGTCCATTCTTTGCACTGCCGATACACCGCCAGTTATTCTCCTTTCTAGTTTTACTGGCGAATTTCTAAATTCAGTAGTTTTTTGTCTTTTATAAACACCCAATGATTCCTGTCTTTTCATGAACTTTTTGGTTGATAGCTTAATAATAACATAGCTTCCCAAGG